GACGAGGACGAGTAGAAGTACGTAAGTGGTCGGGTGGGGGGAGTGACGAGGCGAGGNGTCGCGGCGCGCGAGGNGCGCGTGCCCCCCCCCGAAGGGCTCATGCGTTCGATGGGGAGCATAAGCCACAGCCAGGGCCCACCCGAAGGTTTAATGCGCTCCATGGGCAGCATAAACCCTAACCCGAACCAGGGTTTGTCCGAGGGTTTGGTCCGCTCAATGGGCGCGTTAACCCCCAACCAGGGCTTGGCTCGGACCAACAGCGGACCCTTTGATTTCCAGGGGGATCCCCTTCGTGCTCCCCTCTCCCGGCGCACAAGCAGCACTCCCACTGGGTTTCTGGGGAGGGAGGACGGCCCGGGCCCGCAATCGGGCGGAAACTCCGCTGCTCCCCCGAGCCTGTTCACGCAGTACCGCGAACAGGGTCCTTGGCTGTCCCCAGAGGACCAGAAGGAAATGTTCCGTCACGAGCAGTCAAAGATGTATGAGGATCGCGTGGTTTTGGAGCGGGCTTTGCGGGCGCAGCAGCTGGGGCGGCAGCTCTCAGGCGGGTTCGATGGGGGTCCCAACGAGGGGCGTGGCGGGATGGACCCGGAAATGGCGGGCCGGTTTGCGCAGGCGGGCCACTTTCGGCCGGAGCTTGCGGGGGGGTACAACCAGAACCCACTGGATTATGGTGAGTGGTGTGCAGTTGCTTGGATAACGTGCTTGGACAACGTGCGTGGATAAAGAAATATGTAGGGTTGGACTGAATCCTGTTAATCTGCGGGCTGTCTCTCAGAGCTGCGTTTGCATTTTGCTCAAGCTGCATCTGCAGAAACTGTCATGAATTCCTATGCTTGGGGACCGGGATACTGATTCGCCGGAGCCTGTTGTCAAGATTTATTGCAAGAGAACGCATCGTAAAAGGCGCGGAGACTTTGGAAGATGCCATGTGAAGAGCCGTTTCAACTCTTGAGTTAAATGCCCTCGCTTCCTGTTAACTTAAGCTAGATTATTTGTAAAGCCTTACTTTTTCTATAAAGCCTATCTGAAGGACAACCACAGAGTTACAGTCAAAGGTCACTCTTCGGAGTTAATATTCTGAACCTGGAAGTCCAATTGATCCTGATCCAGAACATGAAAGTTGTTGCAGCGCGCTTCCCTTCGGTCCAGCAGCAGCAGCAGCAGCGGCAGCATGCCCAGCAGGCGCAGTCACAGCAGCACCCCTCGGCACGTCCCCAGTTCTCGGAGGCGGCGCCAGGGCCGCCAACGCCTCCCGCAAGCGAAACAGGTGTCGCCCACTCTCTATTCCTGCTCTTCCGCTTCTGTTCCCTCCTTCGTAATTCTGATCCGACGTGCACCGCCTCCATTGGTGATTAGTGCGTAGTGGATGACGATGCTCAAAGAACGTTTCCTCTTTGGCTGCATTGAAGGGGGTTGAAATACACGTAAGCAAAGGATGCCGATCACTCGTCCGCCGCTTTTTGGGGCATGCTGCTTTGTGGGTGTTACTTACGAGTTTCCGGGCTCGAGGCATTCAGCCTTTCTATTGTTAGGACGTTGTTCAATTTCTGTTTGTCGTTCGTGCAGTGTCACCAAGTCCAGAAGACTTCCAAGAGTACAGCCCGTTTGGCGGCCAGCCTTCGCTCTTCAAGGAGAACTCCGGCAAGTCCATCTGGTAAAGTGGGGGCCTGGATCGCCAGGACAGCGCCGGGGTGGGGAATACTTCTAGCGATGGAGCTTTCCGTTTTGGGGGCTGGCTCGGGGGGTCTTTTGTGGCGGACGCCGGTCGCTCTTCGTAGAGGCTACTAGGAAGAGGGCCCGGCTTGGGGGCAAGTCATTTTCGAAGGACGTTTCAGGCTCGTCAAATGTGCAGGGGGGCAGACGGGGTTGCAAGACCCCTAGAAGCATAGTCTGTAGTACCATACGCAGGGATGCCGTAGTGCAGCTAGGGTCACGTGCACCGTCGCGAGAGTTACGGAGGAGGGCTGGGCGCTGCATGCTTCGATCACCTCCAATTGCCTAGCGGAGACAGGTCGTGGAAGGCCCCGCTGGCCTTGGGGGCGCGCTGTTTTGAGCTTCTGACAGGGGCGCTGGTCAATAGGAACTCGACTAATCGTTAAGAAGTTTAGACGTGCGCATACATGCGAAGCATCTATGCAGGCTAGTGTAAGGTCGGCCCTGGCTTTTAGGTCATCGCCAAGAAAACTGCATTGCATGTTCCGTGGTGGAGGACGGTCCAAATTGGATTGCGCTTAGATCGTTGCTTATCAGAAATAATACGGTTGGGTCGAGCATGTGGGAGTCCCTCTTGTAGCCTAACGCAATACAGCACAACGACGACACAATCCACCGGTGTTCTTGAGCTGCGCAACCCAAGCCGCTGTCGGACAATAACGAGAGTGGTAGGCTTAACCCAGGTACGGTCACCCAACATATGTTGTCGAAACACTAGTCTCCTATCCGGCAACGTTGACTCCGTTTTTATTAGGACTAGTTACTTTGGCACGACGATTCACACGGTCCAACTGTTATGAGTCCCTTTTGCTTCGAGTTTTACCGATATTTGCCACCGATTATAGAACGGAGTGGAAACAATCGAACGTTGCACATATGCAACGTTTACACTAATACGCATGGCCAGAAGCCCGCCCCAGCTTCCCCTGATCAAACTTAGTGGTAAACCGTTGCAAGGGCGGCCGCCGCGCCCGGGGCATCGTTGTATACCATCTCTCCCAGTATGCAGCAAACGACGGGTGCATGTGTAGATTGAGAGCTGTATGCCACTTATATCATGCTATTTCAGGCGTAATGTAGAACCATGGAAAGTATCGCATGCGACATCGTCCGCGGTCCAATTGTCGGATCCCGCTCGTTTGCACTGGCAACACCAATCGTATATCTTACGGGTTAGTTGTGCTAGTGCTACTAGAGATGGTCAGTTCCGAACTTCCAACATGCGGACGGTTGCTGATCAACACCCTCATGTTTAGCATGAAGCATCTCAGAGCCTTTAGACTGGCAATGAGCCACATTCCCATCATGTTGATCTGCTAGTTATCTAAAAGGTTGCTGCTAGCAAAGAAGCGCTGAGTCTGGCAGTGCCCGCCGTTGCCAAGTTGGTCGTGCAGCGCCGCAGTACGTGGACCGGAGATCGACATCGCAATACAAAATATCCGTATATCCGTAGTAGCTGGTATTGTCCACAACGCTTCCACCTTGGGGTGTGCAATGGGGGTATAGCAGATTGCAGCGCATCAACCAAGTCCCTGGTTACCCTAGTCGCCGACCAATCAATTACCGACTCTAAAGCTTTCAAAGACCTTTGTTGCGCAATGAAACAATTGATATAAGCACAAGGGGGACAATAGAAGGGCCGGGGCTCCCGAATAGCTATGGGCTAACATGATACATGCATACGTCGGCTCGTGTACTTCTAATTTGCACAGTGCTAGCCATGGTACCATGGAATCATGTGAAGAGCCTTAATTCAGATACATTGTGCAAGTCTCAAAAATCAATATAATGTGGTGGATATCGCGTACTCGGTAGCGTTAAATCTTGTCGAATTGTAATTACCTTCTAAAGCAGGATAGTCGATCAACCATTAATTGGCGGAGTGTTCATTGTTTTTCTAACAATAATCGCAACATATGCTCTTTCATCTTCAACGTGCTGGGCACTCTCGATGTGACGGTTGGACAGGGTTT